GCTTTTCATTTTCTTTCTAGACAATTCCATGTTACTGAAAGCACATGCTCTGTATTCTGTGTCCCCTCCCATGTGTTTATAGTATTTCTGAAAGATTGATAAATAAATTGGGTATTTCGTGGCTGCTCTCTGTGGAAGGAGAAAGCATAATTAAGTTAATGCACTTCTTTTCCTAGCTCCAAAGTCACTGTGATGTATATTTTTTTAATGGAATTTAGAAGACTTGTTTTCTCAATTGTAAAATTAGTTTAAAATGCTGCTTTATCTTTAGTCTAGTAAATGTTGGACTGTTTTCTGCAAATTGCATTTTACAAAATTTAAACTTCAAAACTGTATTAACTTTTATAGTTAAACATTGTATTAAATAAAGTATACTATAATAAACAATTCAGGAATTGTATTTTAATTGTTAGTCTTTTATTAATTGACAACCAATAAAATATAACAAATTAAGTCTTTTATTTTGAGAAAAAGAGGTAATTAACATAATGGATCTTTACAAATTTATTGTGCACAGTAGCTTATATCTTTTAAGTCCAGCACTTGGAAGGCAGAAGCAAGTGGATCTCTGAATTCAAAGCCAGCCAGGGCTGAAGAATTGAGACCCTGAAATTATAGGGTTGGTAAGATGGTGCAGTGAGTAAAGGTGATTGCCACCAAGCCTGGTGATGGAGCTGAATCCCTGGGACCTGATGGTGGGTGGAGAGAACCGATGGCCACAGATTGTCCTTTGAGAGTATATACCATGGTGCTCATGTGCCTTCCCAAAACAAAAACAAAGTGTAAGAATGTAGTCAGCAGTGATGATTTCCAAGTAAATTCTAGTTCTAATGTTTAAGCATAATGTTTCAGTTTGGTAACTATCTTAGCAAATTTTAGATTTGTATTACTATATATTAAAATCTATTTGCTTTTTAACTACTCCAAATTTCCTATGGTTAGAAACCATGCAATTTTTCCTGGTTTTTGTTGTTTGTGTGTGTGGTGCTGAGTTTTGGGTTTTGGTTTTTTTTTCCAGACTGGCCTCAAAGTCAATATGTTGCCAACAAATTAAAAGTGAGTCATCACACACAATTTATATGGTGCTAGGGATTGAACCTAGAACTTCATACATGGTAGGTAAATAGTCCCAATGGCTATGCCACCACCCACCTGTCAAGTTTTAATGTTAGTTGAAAAGCCATTTATTTTACTTATTTTAAAAACAATCTTTTACATACCAATCCCAGTTCCCACTCCCCTCCTTCTACACCCTCCTTCCCCCTACCCCCATCCACTGTAAAGTCATTTTTAGTTAAACTTTTTTGAGTTGGTATCTCACTATGTAGATAAGGCTGACCTTGAACCTACAAGAAACCCACCTGCCTCTGCCTTCCAAGTGCTGGGATGAAATGTGTGTACAACCCTAAAGCTGTATTTTTAAGATTTGTAAGATATGTTTAGATTCTTTTGGTTTAAACTTAGATAATATTTAGGGGAAATGTCCACAGGAGCTAATCATTGAAAATAAATGTATCTTTTAATGTATATGTAAAAACATTGAGTATTCAGTGGTTTGTATTATGTTGATGGATATACATTACCTTGCCTTTGTATTTCAGTAATTATACAATAATTATCCCTAAACCAAAAGAAATGTCTAGCAGCTATGCTTATACAATAGTTCATACAGCTAAAGTATCCTAAGAATGTTTTGAGCTTTTGCTCTGTAGCCCAGGCTGGCCTCCACTTTGTGTGGTGTGCATGTGTGTGTGCCATGTGCATCTGAGATCAGGAGTTGATTCTCTTCCTCTACTGTGTGGATCCTGGGGTTCAAACTCAGGTTGTCAGGCATAGTGATAAGCACCTTTACCTGCTGAGTCGCTTTGTCAACCCATGACACAACCTTTTCAGTATTAGGCTCACAGGTATGACTGGCTTCCTTTTGTTCTTTTATTGGTTATAGAACAATTTCTCAAGCCTTGAAATCAGATTGGACATACATACTTCTTTGCTGAATTACATTTGTGTGTGTGCTTTGAGTTTTATTCTAGTAAATGTGGCTTTACAAAGTCATCAAAGAATATTTCATTCAACCTAAACTACCATAAGCTAGTAGTAGCCCATGGAATCTTGCAGATAGCAAATACTGTTTCTTTCACCCTCGTCAACAGAGTTGAGTTCCAGGACAGCCAGGGCTACCAGGAGAAACCCTGTCTCAAAATAACCCATTTGTCTCTTTGAGTTCATTGTGGTCTCAGAATACATTTACATACAATTTAGGAATCTGCTACGTTCTTTTTAAATGGCTGGCTTTTTTTTTTTTTTTAAGAGTTTAAAGTTTTTATTTATTGATGGGTCTGATCTAAAATAGCTCTGGGTGTCTGGAACCAGACAAATTTCAAAGGATCCCTGTGCCTACCGAGTGCTGAGATCAAAGGTGTGTGCTACCACACCTAGCTGAGCTTGGGATAAAGTAAACTTCACATAATCCTACCATTTTTCAAAGTTTAGGTGGCTATCATCATCCCACATATACAGAACTATGTAGGGAGTCACTGCACTGTGCAGTCTGTTATGAAGTCCTGATACACACAGATTTTCTTATTTTTGTTTTGCTGGTGAAGGGGATGTGTAATTTCCCTACCCCCAGAGGGTTGTGATACCAATTTTGCTATAGGGTTTGTAGAGATGGCTAAGCAAATAAGAGATGGCTGCTCTGTTTGGTTGCTGTCTGCAGGTGGCCTACATTTTCCAAGAGAAATGGAGGAAGAGGAGTATGCAGGAGGAGGGGTGCTGAGTAGAGTTGGAAACCAGTCAGGGTGTAAGAAAAAATGCCTTGCTCAACCTAGTGGGAAAGGCCTTATTCCTACCTCAAGTAGTGTGACAGACTGTTGATTCCCTGTGGGAGGTCTCATCCTCTCTGAGGAGTGGATGGGGTTGGGGTGAAGTGGGGAGGTGGGGTTAGCACCTTAGTCTGCCAGGGAGAAAAGGAAAAATGATATACCTTTGATTTTAAATAGATGCAGGAGAAACAGCTCAGTCTGTAAGGTGCTTTGTTGTGCAAGTATGAGGGCCTGCATTGGATTCCTAACACCCATTTAAAAAGCTGAGCATGGGGTCATGCATTTGTAATCCTAGTACCAGGGGTTGGGAGAATGAAGAGAGAAGCACCTGGTCCCAGTGAGACAGAGACCCTGCCTTAAAAAAAAAAAAAAAAAAAAAAAAAAAAAGATGGCTCTTGAGTAACAACATCAAAGGTTCACCTTCAGCACACAGATGCATCTGCATACACACACACACACACACACACACACACACACACACACACACACAAATATATAAAAGAATTGTCAGAGTGGTGATGCCCAAATAGAATCCTAGTTGTTGAGAGGCTGAGATTGGGTGGAAGGGCTGTGGGTTTGAGACCAGCCTGAGCAACACAAGAAAGATCTTGTCTCAAGTAGAAAAAAAACACACACTCATGCAATAGTAACCACTGAGGTTGCAAGGCCTTGGGCTAAATTCCAGCACAAACTAATCATAGACACACAACTTCACAGAATGTCTTTCTTTAAAATGTGAGTAAGAATATGAATCTTGCACTTGCTGCTCTGGCAGAGGACCAAGATATGGTTCCCAGCACACACATGGTAGTTTGCAATTATCTGTAACTTCTGTTCCAGGGAATCTAATACCCTTTTCTGAACCATTTTAGGCACAAGTCATGCACATTATGCATAAACATACATGCAAGCAAAACACACGGGAAAATATTTTTTTAAAGTACATATTGTAGGATTCTACTTATGGGGTGTATGAGGTATTTAGCCAGATTTGTAGGAACAATGGTTGTTCATAAAGTTGACAGAAGGAAAAGATGGGGCATACTTTAAGTGAATATAGAGTTTTAGTTGTACAGAATGGAAAAAAGTCCAGAAATTGCATAGCAATGTAAATATACTTAACACTTTTGTTGTTTTGTTTTTCAAGACATGTTTTCTCTGTGTAGTCTTGGCTATCCTGGAACTCACCCTGTAGACCAGGATGGCCTCAAACTCACAGAGATTCCTCTGTCTCTGCCTCCTCAGTACTGGAATTAATGATGTGGGCCACCACCGCCCAGGGCATAAATATACTTGACACTATTAAGTCATACTTAGAGGCTAAGATAGTAGCTCATGTCCTATTCATTAGTTGTTTGTTTTTAAACACAATCCATAAAAACCCAATGAACTTGTATATCAAGTTGACAAAACTACATTTAGAATATTTTAAATAATGCCATGTCTAGGAAATATACTCTACACAATAAACCACAGAGAAGCCAAAGCCCTATAGTAATCATTACTAGCAATGAGGTTTTGAATGACTTTACAGAATGACATAGAATAAGCACAGAAATTTCTGTTGTGGGAAGTACTAGCTCTGATTGAGCCATAAGGACAAAGTACTGACAATATGGTACACAACATAGAAGTACACTTAGAAATAAGTCAGACACTGAAGTCCGCACCATGGCTGTGTTCTTACAGAGTAACTAGGATGGACAGAGGCAGAGCAGAGGCTGTAGAAGAGACATGGGGAGGTACTGCTCAGTGGGTGCAGGGTCATGTACAATCCTGTGAATGTACTTTGTCATAGGCAGATTTTTCATCCCTACTAAAAATGTTTTAAATGAAATTGACATTGTGTGGCTGAAGATAGAGTCCCGACCTGGACCCAAAAGCCCACATTAAAGAAAAAAATCCAGTATGTTATGTTGGCACACACATAACATACTAGTGCAATCCCAGTGCTGAGGAGGTGGACATAGACAAATCCCCAAAACTAACTGAGCCTACTTATTCAGTTCTGAGCCAGTGAGAGATCCAGTCATCTAAAATGTTGGCTACAGTGAAAGAAACAACACCCAAGGTTGTTCCCTGGAATCTATACACACACAAATGCACAGATACCTGCCCTTATAAGTGTTCTTAGTGGAAATACTGCAAAGAATCAAATCAGGCAACACATTTTATAGAGATGAGTAGCTTTATTATCAGAAATTACATTATATTTGTAGCACATACTTGCTACCATAAATTTTATCAATCATAAAAATAAACTTTTTTACCAAGTAAAACCTAGCCTTTTCTTTGACTTCTGAAAATCATTATACTTTGATCCTTGAGAGTTATAAAAAGGGAGCTGGACACCAGTGGCATCTTTTGCCTGATAACTTGGTCGGATCCCACCTCTGCCTACACAGGGTGGTCCACGTCCACCTCCCACTCCTTCCTGTACAGCTCTTACCAGAGGGTAAGTATATTTCTTTGTTGATTTAGATTCAGATTCAATTACTTCTCTGGCGTACTTCTGAAATTCTTTCTCCTTCTCAGCTGCAAGGGCTTCAGTAAGGCTCCAGTAGCCTAATTCTTCTTCTTTTGATTGTTTTGCATTAAATTTATTTTTGGCCTATTGGAAAGAATACATTTTAATATTGGTCAAAACATCAGTTTTCCAAATATCTATATAATTTTAAGATGTAGTAATTTTATAAACTGTTTTTTATAAATATGCTATAACTCATCAATTCTATGCTAAAAATATACTCAAAATATGAATCAATCAAACATATTAAACTCATACATAGGCAAACAACATAGCAAAACCTTAACAAGCATAAAATTTAGGTAAAAATAGAGCAGCTACATTTATAATTTTCTTTCAATCATTTATATATGTGATATTCAGTAGATTTAAAGGCATAAAAATAATTATTGTTCCTGTCAGTCAACATAAAACTAAGCCAGCAGAGAATACCTACCTATGCTACACACAACCGATTACATTCTGTTTCCCAGGAATGTGACGCTAGAACAATGGGTGACATTAATCTATGAAAATGTATTCAGAAATGAGGAAATAAGTACTATAAACCTTTGTCTTATAATTTATATTGGAGATGTTCTTAATAGCTTTTCTGTGAAATTTTGATTGACAGATTTTACTTTATTTTTGTAACTTTAAGAAATTCTAAATTTTTAAATATAAGTTGTTTTCCTGTATATGTTATATATTTAATATTAAGAAAGTATCTTGATGATCTATTACTTCGATGTAAGGTCTAATCATTTCTACCAATTGAAGTTATGAGGGAAGGCACATGATTACTGAGTTCTAAAAGTAAGGCTTATATTCTGTTTGTTGAATTGGTGATAAATTATCCAGTCTTAGAAAAAAAAAAACAGTATTCAATAAGACTGGAAGTCAGAGGTTACACAAAATAGTATTCAATAAGTCTGGAAGTCAGGAAGTTAAACAATCTCACCAAAGGTAATCAGCTAATATGAGATATCCTTTGGTAATATTTTCCAGAAAGACACTGAGGGTCCAGGAAGAATAACATGAAATCTAAGAAGAAAATGACAACAGAAAAGAGGAGTAGCTATATAGCTCCTGAGATAAGTGCTACAAATTTGATATGCATTAAGCATAAGCACAAATGTAATTTTAGCTGAAGATGATGGTGTTCATAGCCTGTGGCCCAAGTTATGTGAGAGAATAAGGTAAAAGGATCACTGAAGTCCAGAAAGGTTCAAAAGGCTAATCAAGCTGGCAATGGTGGGGCAATTTTAATCCCAGCACTCAGGAGGCAGAGGCAGACAGATCTCTGAGTTCAAGGCCAGCCTAGTCTATATATAGAGTGAGTTCCAGCGCAGCCAAGACTGTTACACAGAGAAACCCTGTCTTGGAAAAGAAAGGAAAAAATAGAGGCTAAACTAAGCCACATAGAAAAATGCATATCAAAAAAAATTTTTTTTAAATAGTGCTGGAGGCATAGTAGACACTGAGTTATAAATACATTGGAAGGAATGAAGACATTTCTTGGCAGTTAAGAGCATTGGCTGCTCTTCCAGAGGACTAAGGTTCAGTTGCTAGCACCCACATGGTAGGTATAACCGTCTTTACCTCCAGTTGTAGGTGATTCATGTCCCTCTTCTGGCCTCCATAGGCACCAAGCATGCACAAAGTGCATGCTTATGTGTGAAGGCTCTCACACATTAAACAAAATAAAATATAGCAATGAATCCATTGCATATAACCATTTTTAAAAATAAAGAATGGCCAAGTGGGGTTAATCACAGGAATACATTGTTTTATTGTAGAATAGTTTTTTTGTACACAGTGAAGATGTGTCTTTGCGAAGGTGCCTTCTGATTGGTTTAATAAAGAGCTAAATAACCAATAGCTAGGCAGAAGGTAGAGGTGGGACTTCCAGGACTCTGAGAAGAAGACATGTAGAGAAACCAGCCAGATGGAACTAGTAGGGCACAAAGAATGGAATAGAGGTAAAAGCCATGCGGTAGAATGTAGATTAATAAAAGTATGGGTTAGTTTAAGTTATAAGAGCTAGTTAGAAATGAGACCAAGCTATAGGCTGAGCTTTCCTAATTAGTGAGAAGTCTCAGTCATAATTTGGGAGCTGCCTAGCACAACAGAAAAAAAAAAAATTGTTACACTGTTTCAATGTTTAAACTTGTCCAAGGGCTGGGAGGTGGTTCAGGGAATGAAGCTCTTGTTCTGCAAGCTTGAGTACCAGAATTTGGATCCCCAGAACCCACACATAAAAGCAGGGAAGACACGAAAACAACCTGTCATTTCCATGCTCAGAAGGCAGAGATAGTATCTATGGCACAAACTGGCTAGCTGAAATCTGTGAAGACCAGGTTCAGACAGAGAACCTGCCTCAAAAAAAAAAAAAAAAAAAAAAAAAAGGGGGGGGGGCAGTGGGGGAGAGAAATTGAGAAAGACACCCAACACACACACACACACACACACACACACCCAACACACACACACACACACACCCAACACACACACACACACACACACACACCCTGTAGACCTAGCTACTGAGTTTGGACCCAAGAGTTAAAGACAGGTTAGATAACATAGTGAGACTCCATCAGAAATATTAACAATAATAATGAAACCTGCCTGCCACATTAGTAGAATAAAGGAAAAACAAGATATGAATACCTCAATATGTGCAGAAAAAAAAATTCAACAATCATGTTAAAAATTTCAAGAAGTTAGGATTCATGAGAGAAAGCTAATAAGATGTATCTACAAGTAATTATAGGAAGCACATGTCTGTCTTGCACTCACACATGTTGCTGGTAGGAATGGGAAAGAGAACTACCTATTTGGAAAAGATTCTACACAGAGACAGCCAGACATCAGATTCTCTACCTATCATTCAAATCTTGTCTCAAAATCAAAGCCAAGATCCCAATCAACATGGTCTCTGGAATACTGCCGTGCAGATGGTGGGAAATAATGTCTGGAAATCTAGCTCAAGATAGACTGCTTTGGAATATAAGAAAGTCAAGGTGGGAGAAAAATGGATGAGCATTAAGGCCTATCTCATAAATCTGCATTTGGTTTGTGTGTGTTTGTTTGTTTGTTTTTTGTATTTAATAATAGGCACTAAAGAAGGATATAAAATATGCACAAAAATAAACAAACAAAAAACCTAGAATGAGACCTGTGGGGAGTGGATGGAGTCCTGAGTGAATGTTGATTGCTGACATGAGCACAGACATGTCAAGGATGCCAATGCCTCATGGAGTGGACAAGCTTTCCCCTGGTCCAAGTGCAAACATTAACAGCATGTCCACCACAGCTTCATCCTCCTGAGTGTTTACAGCCTAAGACTGCTTCCTTAAAGAGACCCCTACTGAGAAGAGCTAACCTTGACTCTGTATTCGGCTGTATGTAAAAGCCTCACCCCTTACATAATGGCTGTATGTAATAGCCTCATCTCCTCTGTACTGGCTGTGTGTAATAGCCTTGCCTCCTCACTTCAGATGTATGAAATCAGCTTGCTGAGTTTCCAGGCCGTTGCTGGTGTGTCTTCATCAGAGTGCATGGCCCATCCAATCCTGGCTATTCTACAATATGTCTCTTTCTTCATTCCTATTGCTCCAGTTAGGTCAAATCCCTAAGCCATCACAGAAGAGGACCACAGAGCAGAGATTCTAAAAACTAATTTCATATTTTAAATATATTTTTATATAATGATCATTTATTCCTCTCCAATAAAAGGAAACCACTTAAAGAAAACCAAAATGAAATTTCTATTACATATTTACTTCTAAAATCCCTGTAAAAATAAATGGGAACAGTTACCATTTGCTGAACATGAGCATCTTGAATTTCTCGTAGCTCTTTGTTAGCTTTGAGCTTTTTCTCTTTTTCAAGCCCCTGGAAAATCTTGTCTGCTTTCAAGATAGCCAGCAACTGTTCTTTGGAATCTATTTGTCTTTGTCTTTCTTCTTCTTCTTTATTTTTCATCTAGATGTTTAATGACAAAGAAAAGAATTAAATCAGTTTTAGCCAACAGTTATTAATTAAAAATAAATGGAGTCAGAATGCTTCAAGCAAAGAGCCAGGAGCAATGGGAGGAGGAAACTGCATGTAGCTGGGTTACTTTGTTTTATTCTCTGGACTATCAAACATACTTAATGAAAATGTGAAACTAGCAAAGAAATGAAATGAAGCCCAAATAATTGGAATGCTGGGTGGAATTTGCTAACCACCGGCCCTGAGATAACAGGATACCAAGAATTCACACTGCCCCTCCTTTCAGTGAGTCAGCAGGTGGTAAATAGGGTCCTTAAGAAACAAAGAGATAGCTGCAACTCAAGTTTGCCCAGACAAGATTAATTAGCACACCCCGAGGCCCTACGGTCTGCTGACCCTAACAGCAAGACCATCGGTCTCAAAGGGTCACGTACTCAATGGACAGAGGGTCATACCCCCTCCCTAAGCTCGTGGGTTTTGCCTTTAAAAACGCCTGTGCCTGGAGAATGAGGCTTCTCTCTAGCCTGTGTGCTGAGGGAGCCTGTTTGCGCAAACGTTTCCTGTTCATTAAAGCCTCTTGCGTGTTGCATCAACTGGACTGGCCATTGAGTTCTTCGGGGTACTAACCGAAACTGGGAGACTCCTCATTCTGAGGGTCTTACAAATGTAGGGAGAGTAATATAGACCAGTCTCTGGGTAAAAACAACAACACTCACAGTTGTGTATGGTTGTAAGCATGCCTGTAATCCCAGCAGTAAGGTAAGGATTCCAAGGCAGGAAGGCAATGGGTTCAGGGGGAGCCTGAGCTACATAATGAGACTCTTCTTGGAAAGAGACTAGAAGAGCAGGAGCAGAAAGAATAAAATATAGGAACAGAAAAGCAAGATCTCAAGGTATAGAAATACTGACATGTTAACAATTAATTGCTAAAATGATTGAGCCATGTAATTTGAATGTTGAGATAGACATATAGGGAATAAGGTAGGGGACCCATTTCTAAGACTAAGAAATACAGAAATGCAATTAGGTAATTTATGTGGCTTCTCTTAAAACATTGAAATAAATCTAAAAAGCAATCCTAGCATTTAAGATGATTCTGAAGAAGAACTTGTTGCTTTGTATCCATAAATAGCTTTCAGGTTGTAGGGGTAGGGGTGGAAAATGGTAGCTGAAGAGATGGATCAGCAGTTAAGAGCAGTGGCTACTCTTCCAGAAGACCTGGGTATGTGCACCTACATGGAGGCTCATAACAATCTGTAACTCCAGCTCCCTATTCTGGCTTTCATGGGCACACAGGGACACACGTGGTGCACAGGTACACATGCAGGTATAAAAAAACAAAAACAAAAACAAACAAAAAAACCCTACATGTAAACTTATATATATATATAAACAAATAAATAAAAAATACCTTTAAAATACCTTATGCGTAACTGATGGATGGTCTTACTATATTTCTTCTAAAGATAAACATTGGTTTTCTGAAGAGCACACTGGACAACTAGGCCTCCAGCATCTGCAGAACAGACGGCACCCTGTAACTAATTGTCTAAGAGGTCAGTGCAGGGACCAAGTGTCAGCTACAATATGCCCAAGGTTCCTTGAGAGACTGGAGCTTTGGTTCTGTGGGTTTCTGAGGTCATTGTGATTACAGAATTCTGATTTTCAAGGATCTGAAGTCTATGTTGATGTGGTCCCAGTGGTTACTTTGGGCCTGTGGCTATAATCACATCACAATATAGTAGACAAGCTTCACTGAGTCTGGTTTGGTACCCTGCCTCCAGTATGTTCATAGACTCAAAGGGACAACCAAAGTTCTGACTCCAGCTTATCACCTTTGTGCTTAGTGTACAGCCCTACCCTTCGTCCTGTTGTCACATGGCCAAGACAGGAAGGGTCACTTCAGCAACTCATTCAATTGTCAACACCAAGTTTCACCAGTCTCCCTAGCTGAGCTTTATGAGATATGAGCCACAGAAAACAGAATATCCTAATAGGCTCAGAAGAAGAGGAAATCAAAACAAATCCATGTCCATAGATGTGCATAGATGCAAAAGTTCTCAACAAAATACAAAAAATTCAGAAACACATTAAGAAGATTATATACTATGTCCAAATGGGTTTCCTCATAGAAAAGCAATACTAGTTCAACATATGTAAATCAATATCTGTAATATACCAGGTAAATACACTTAAGGACAGAAACTACAGTTATTTCAATTGATACTGAAAAGGCATTTGACAAATTCCAGCATGTCTTCGTAATAAAAGTTCTGGAGACTTTAGGAATACCTCAAAATAAATAAAGGCTATATACAACAAATCCATAACCAATATATTAAATGAAGACAAACTGAGAAAGAGTATTTCATTTCCTCTAAAATCAGGAATGAGACAAGGATGCCCATTCTCCCCTCTTTCTTGATAAAATGTTGGGGATCTTAGCTGTAGTAATTAGACAAGACAAAGGCATAAAAGGAATAAAAATAGGAAAGAAAGAAGTCAAACAATCCCTATTAGCAGATGGCATGATTACTAGAAATTTTTTGGATCTAGTAAACACAGTAAAGTTACAGAATACCAAGTCAATGTAAAGAAAGCAATAGCCTTCATTGTGTACTCTCAGAGAAAAAAATTGGAAAACATATTCCATTCTAAATAACTAAAAAAAAAAAATAGGTATTTAAGAATACATCTATGGGACTAGAGAGATGGCTCAGAGGTTAAGAGCACCTACTGCTCTTCCAGTGGTCCTGAGTTCAATTCCCAGCAACCACATGGTAGCTCACAATCATCTGTAATGAGTTCTGGTGCCCTATTCTGACATGCAGGCAAACATGCAGACAGAACACAGTGTAAATAACAAATAAATAAATATTTTTTAAAAAAAGAATACACAGCTAAAGAAGTGATAGACTCTACAACAAATGCTTCATGATATTGAAAAAGGAAATCACATAAGATACTAGACAACAGAAAGACATTCAATTATGTTCTTGGATTTGTAGAATTAATATTGTAAAAATGGCTATACTGCAGAAATAAACTTATGGATTTAATGTAACACCTATAAAAATTCTAATGTCATGTTTCAGGTTAAAAAAAAACATGCACACTTTTCATATGGAATCACAAAAGATAAGGAATAGCTAAAAAATTTCCAAGGAACAAGAACCCTGGTACAGATGGTACAGTACCTGACCTCCAATTATATCATAGAGCTATAGTGACAAAGCCTCGTGCTGGCATAAAAACAGACAGATAGATCAATGAGAGAGAATAGAGGACCCAGAAATAAAATGACAAAGCTGTGCCCACTTAGTTTTTGATAAAGGAGGTGAAAACATACATTCAAAAAGCACAGCCTGTTTAACAAATAGTGCTGGCAAAACCAGGTATTCTAAAGAAAACTGTGACTTGAATATTTGCAAGAAATTGGATGTACTTAGAATGCAAAACTTCAGATGAGGTCACACAGTCTCAGGAGAAATAAACCTTTATGTTCTCCATTATATTCAAACCTAGCCAATAATATATGCATATGTATGTAAATGAATGTACATGTATGCCATGTAGGAAAGAGAAGAATAAAAGCTAATATTAGAGACGAGGAAGGACTGGGTGCAGTTAGTGAAAATGAGTCATGAAAGAGGACACAAAGCCAACTGTTCATTTAGTTCTAACTGTCATGGAGTTTTTGCTTTTGGTGGAGGTTAAGAGCATACAAATCAATTATCAAAATGTAAAGTCCAATGTGAGGCTGCACATCTTCTCCTAATGGCCATCCTACCTACATAGAAGTTCATCAGACTGTGTGGACTTTGCATCTAGTTAATTTCAGTGTAGGATTTGTTTATTTGCAAGGGTTTTTCCTTTTTATATACAATAAAGCTTAGAAAGAAAAAAGCGTTTCAAGAATGTAGGAAGAGCATTTGCACACTGTTTTCAAATCTCTGGTAGTTTGAGAGAGAGGCAAAGAGGTAGTAGGCACAGCAGGGCAGTCTAGCTTTCTACAGCACAGCACTGTAATGGAATCATTTACCACAGAGGCTCTATGATCTGCAATGGCTTTCAGCTCTGCTTTGTTTTTTTCATATTTTTCTTTTTCTCTTCTCTCCAGTTCAGCCTCGGCTTCAGCCATATCTCTAGCAATAATCAAATCTTCATTATCAAGTTTTTCTTTCATTAGTTCACTTAGGACGTTATTTATTCTTTCTCTCCGTTCTTCCATCAGCCTATAACAGAACAATCACATTTGCCAAATAATCCTGAACAGTTCTGTAATGGAGTTAAAATACTTCCATTAGGGATCTGAGGTATTATATAGTCGACTATAAAACTAAAAAGTCTGTGAGTCCATATATATGTATATATATAGATGTGTGTGTGAATTAATTTGTCTTACATTTAAGTTTTAATATTGAGCTAAATAAGGAAATTAATCTTATAACTACAAAGTAGCATATATTATAAAAGTTCCCAAGTGATCAGTGTGTAGAATATAATCACATATGTGTGTGCATGTATACTTTGTACAAAAAGGTGTTAAGATTCTCCATAACACAGGAAAATAGTTTTCTTGTGTGTATGTGTGTGGTGCGGACATGTGGTCATGAGTGTATGAGTGTAAGGCTATGGGTGGGTGCAAATAGAGACCAGAGGATGATTTTTAATTGATTTATTTATTTTATGTATATTAGTGCTCTATCTACATGTACACCTTTGTGCCAGAAGAGGGCATCAGATCCCAATAGAGATGGTTGTGAGCCACCATGTAGTTACTGGGAATTGAACTCAGGGCCTATGGAAGAGGGAAGGAGACTACACAGAAATGTTTTAACTAGTTATGACATGTTCACTAATTTATTGAGAGTTTGTGAAGTTTTATATGAAAAAGATATGTGGCTGGGCGAAGGAAAGTAGAGTCTAAAGGGGAAAAGAGACATTTATGCAAATGCATATGGCAGATGGTGGTACAGGCCATGAGAATACGAGGGAGCCATGCAAAAGATTTTGTGGAAAAGGCAATGTTTATGTTATAAAACACTGTTCTAAACACATTTACAGATGGAACGGTTTATTATTTACAGACACTATTCTAGGTACTGAGGACTTCACAATGAAAAAATGTTAAAGACCTCCAGCCCTATAGAAGGCTTCTCAGTGCTATAACAAAATGCCTAATTTAAGAAACTTAAAAGGTATTATTTATTTCAGCTCATGTTTTCAAAGGTGTCACTTCATCATGGAGGGAAGAGAATGGCAGAACAAGGCAGAAAAATGGCAGCCAGGAAGGCGTATAAAGAAGGAGCAGGGTGTGCATGGAAGACAGCTCAGTAGTTGAGAGTGCTTATTGCTCTTCCAGAGGACTTATGTTGGATCCCCAGTATCCATATGGTGAATCATGACTCAAGTTCCAGGGGAGCCAATACCCTCTTCTGACCTCTGCAGGCACCAAGCACATATGTGGTACATAGACATATATGCAGGCAAAACACTCACACATAAAATAAAATAAATAAATCAAATTTGAAGAATTAAAAAACAGAGTCAGTTGGTGGTAGCACACACCTTTAATCCTAGCACTCAGGAGGCCAAGGGAAGGGGATCTCAGTGTCTTCAAGGCCAGCCTTGTCTACAGAGTGAGTTCCAGGACAGCCAGAGCTGTTACACAGAGAAACCCTGTCTCAAAAAAGAGAGAGAGAGAGAGAGAGAAAGGAAGAAAGAAAAAGAAAAAGAAAAAGAAAGAAAGAAAGAAAAGAAAAAGTGAATCCCCGAGGGCATGTCCCCAGTAACATATTTCTTTCAACTGTTGTGCTCCACATTCTTCACCACATCTTGTAAGGATATCAGTTTCCTGCCTGATAGGAGGTGATCAGCTCCCTCCAGCATGCACACCGTCCTGGTATGCTGCTCTGCTGTAATTCCAAAAGCAATAAGGCCAACTGCCTATGAACTGAAGCCTCTAATCCATGTGCCACAATAAAACTTTCATCTCTTTAGGCTAAAGAATTAGAAGTATCTTAACAATTCTGTAAAGCTGACTAACAAAGTGTGTTATTTTCCACTTCCTGTTTTAGGGTTTTATTCTAGGAGATACAATTTTTTATTGACGTGATGTTGGAAATCCCCAATGGGAATTTGACACTAAAGATCTAAGAGTTCTGGACTATGGTGGCACGCTTTCAATCTCAGCAGGCAGGCAGAAGCAGGTGGATCTCTGTGAGTTGAGGTCAGCCTAATCTGAACAGAGAGGTTTCCAGAACAGTCAGGGCAATATAGAAAGACCTTATCTCAAAAAAAAAAAAAAAAAAAAAGGAAGGAATAAACAAATGAAGGTAGACCCAAGACACTGGTGAGGCACACATTTGGGCACATCTGTATGTCATTTCCAGAGGGGATTAATTCAGAGGGAAACCCCACCTGAATTGGGACAGCACCATCCCATGGGCTGGGGTCTTGGGATGAATAAAGAGAGGAAAGGAAAAAATGAACTGGGCCTATTCATCTCTCTGCTTTCTGATCCATGTGGTTCTGAACAAACAGCCTCATGCTTCTGCCTGTACAGCCATGAGCAGTATCTGGTCACCATGGCTTTTTGCCATAATGGGGTATTTATACCCTAAGATGTGAGGCAGCATGGGCTCTTCCTCCACTGAGCTGTCTCTTGTCAGGTGTTCAGCTATGGCCATGAGAAAAGGAAATATGTAGACCCACTTGTCTCCTAGAGCCTCTCTAACTCGGCATTCTTTCTCCTAAATGATACGAGTGTTTTCAACCAGCGACCACAGGCAGTTCTGGAACATTCCATGGGTACACCTCAACTCTCATGCCCCAAATGGAAACTATCATGTCACTAACTGCCCTCATCATCTATGAGACTCCAATTCCCAAAGAAAACCAATCACAGGTAGCACTTAAGTAATTACATATGTTAAATCCTACCCGTGGGGCTGGACAGACAGCTCAGCAGTTGAGAACACATTGCTTTGGCAGAGGACCCAGGATAAATGCCAAGCACCCATATGATAGCTCACCACAACCCACCACCTCAGTTCCAAGGAATGCAACAAGCACACATAGATGTGGTGCACATACATGCATGCAGGCAAAACATTCATATTCGTAAGGTAAAGAAGTCCAAAAAAATGATTTTAAATCCTACCTTTGTGTTTCAGCTTCCTTGTCTTTCCTCATTTGTGTGAGACGTTTTTTGGCTCTGATAAACTTTCTGATCTTTTCATCTTCCTCCTCTTGCTGTTGCTGTTCTACAGCTCGGATGATGTTTTTATCATGCATATGGTCCTGAGGGAAAGAAGTATGGTGTGGTGATATTTTGTTTATGATCTAACAAAAGCTTGCCTGAAGATCAGAGTGCAAAGCTAACCACACTAGTCAGCCACAGAGGACAGATAGTAGTACATACACATTTAACCCCAGCAGCCACACTGATCAGCCACAGAAGCTGGGCACTAGAGATAAATATAAGGCAGGAGGAGACAGGAATGCATTGCAGTCTCACAGAATCTGAGCAGCAGTGCAGTTGGGAACAGTGTGAGGGTTGGTGGACCACCTGGCCCTTCAGTCTGAGCATTGGTAGAGGTGAGAACTTTCTAGTAGCTGGCTGCTTTGCTTCTCTCATCTTCAGCTTGAACCCCAATATCTAACTCTGGGTTTTATTACTCGTGTTACAATATGGTTTGCCACAAAAATGCCTTCTAACACATCTACAAAGAACCTATCAAATGGTCATGGCTTCCTACCCACTTATTTTTCTCCTGAAAATTTATCCCAAAATAATCAGAATCTTGAATAAATGTTTATGTCTATATACTTTATTACAAGTTTATTTATATTAATAACACAAAAATGTTGGAAACAATTTCTAAGTATTCAATAATGCAGAAGTGGTTACATAAACTTTAATCTCAGTAGTGTGAAACTTTAGAACACAGCTTTTCTAAATAACTAAAAAAAAAAAAAAATCACTAACTTCCCAAATACCATTCTTTGGGAAGATGCAAGGATATTCTTCAGCAAGAGGGATAGTAAATAAGAAACAGGAAGATAGCAGAGTCGGGAGTAAGAGGCATGAACCCACAGAGTGGCAAGGTAAGCCCCAGGACGACAGTTAGGCAGTAGGCAGGCCTAGGGAGTGGAGAGGGGAAGGAGGGTTCTCAGTGGATAAGCTCTAAGTTACAACATAGGTAACTGCTTGTCATTCAGTCAGATGTTGAAAATTAGCATTAACATACATTTGGCAAGATTTATTGGATATATAGAAAAACCAAGTCATCAAAATAAAATTTTAAAAAGTTCAAAAATGTAGTCACTAAACATATGAAAATCAAGGTAGAAAAGTGATAGTAGGCATGGTGATGCACACCTGCAATTTGTGTGATAGAGGGAGGGAACTAAAGCAGGAGAATCATAAATTTGAGGCCAATCGGGTTGCATAGGGGGACCCTGTCTTAAAACAAAGTAAAAATGAACACTGACAAAATAAAAGAACTAGAACCATTGCGGTATTTAACTTGGATCTGCAGAGGCAAATATTTACACAACCTGATAATGACTTAAGTATGGTAACTGTTGAGTAGATGATGAAAAATGCATTACACAGGACAAGAGCCACATCCTTCTACAACAACAAAAAAGGAGAGAATGGCTGACACTAAAAAATCAGATTGATACCATTTGGAACCTAATATAAGAACTAAATACAGAGACTGACTGTCAAAACAGCTCAAGGAGGCAGGGTACCTGAGCCGTATTATGGTCTTGAGCCCTGAGGTAGAAGGTAGAAGGAGAGAACTGACTCCCAAAAGTTGCCCTGTGAGCTCACACATGTACCATAGACACACATACAGACAAATACACACATAAGTAAATATAATACAAATAATAACAAAGTAAAATATAAGTACATAACACCTATTAGCAGCAGAAGAAAATGTTAAATCTGGTAACATTTGCTTCTAGGTGTTTAATGTTTGTATTATTTAAAAATTAAAAACAAAACAAAGCAACAGCAGTGGTGCTGGAGAGATGGCCGAGTGGTTAAAGCACTGGCTGCTCTTGCAGAGGCCCTGGAGGGTCCAGCACCGACATGGAGGCTCACAGCCATCTGTAGCTTCCACTCCAGTGGATCCAATGCCCTCTTCTGGACTCTGCAGGCACCGCACACATGTGGCACACAGACATACATGCAGGCAAAACACCCACACACATAAACTAACTTTTTAAAATGTTAAGTACAAAAAAAAAAAAAAAAAAAAAACCATGAAATCAAATAAATTACATCCATAAGACATCACAACAGAAATCACACATAAATATCCACCATGCATTCCTCACAGCTTTTGTTTTAAGGAAACCCATTTCAAATAGAAAATTATTTTCTTTCCTGCATGACATCACATCCACACAAAACCATACTGAACAGACTCACTCCAAGTGTGGGTTCTCTCAGGAGAACATCTCCCTGAACCCCTGTTCCCTACCCCAGCATCTCTTAAGTTGGGCATCTGACTGTGTAACTACTCCACGGTGGCATTTTCAACTTACAAGAAACAGTTTCCTGCTTTCATCTATCTCTTCCTGTTTCTTGCTTTGTTTTTTCTTCATTTCTATGTCATACAGCAAATTCTGCCGCTTTATCTCCTCAGCATCTTTTTCTTCATTTTTTTTCCTGTTTTCTTCTTCCTCTTCACGTTGCTTTATTCTAAAGAAAAAAAACATAAATGTAAGAGAGAGCAAATCAGACATATTTTACAGAGAACCAGGCTCTAACCTGGGTTGATAGGATATCAAGCTTTCTTCTGGAAAAGAAGACACACAACAACAGTGGCAAAGACAATCTAAACAACCCAGGACTGCCCAGATGGCCTGGCTCCAAGCCCATTTTGTTTGGAAGAAACCTGACAGCTGACTCAAGTTCTCCTTGTCTTTAGACAGGACAGTTAGCTGAGTAAGAGGAAAAGTTTGTGGGCTCCAGGGCAGAAGCTAAGGCTACAGAAGCTGCAGATAAGGCCTCAAGAGGTTGGGTTTGATGGAAAGAGCAATGGAGGTCTCTGTACCCAAGTGGCCACTCTGGTTGCTATTCCTCCCATGGCTCCCTGCTAGTTGGCTACTAATGCCTTCTGAGTGGTAAGCCCCAGATGCTCCATGACTCCCAGGGCTTATGTATGAGCTCTTCAGGGGTATCTGAAGGTCAGCTTAACAGCACAGCTCTGAACTTGGAAGGTTTCTCTCCAGCACCATCTCTTCAACTCACTTCCCAAATCCCATTACCATCACACCAGGGGCTCCCATCTGCAGCAGTTCATATCAGATTCTGGATCCCTGGGGTCCCTAGAATGGCAGGCACACCTTAGCACATAACAAGACTGCTCACATCCCACAGATCTTCCCACTCGTGGGAGCCCAGGCATTAGTCTGACTGTTTTTCATTCTGGGTAAGTCAACAATCTAGACAGCTAAAGAATACGCTGTTCTTTTATACGCATGAAATCAAGCAAACAGTAGTCTTGAAGTCTTTTTGCAACAGTATAGGGAAACTCCCTTCTCCAGGCCACAGAAGACTGCACAGGGAAGTAGGCCAAGAAATTCAGCACAGACAAGAAGTAAATCAGCTTGGCAGTCACAGCCTTCTCTTCAGGAGGAACTAAAGAAACTAAGGATTGCACTGGCCCTTGCCACACCAGGTTAATGGTGATCTCTAAAAAAATTAAGTTTTTATAATCGTACTAGCTGTTTTTGTTATATTTTATGTTTACTAATCACATCGAAGAGGCAGATTCACAAGTCAACAACAAAGAACTAAAGACTATTAGAAGAGAAATATCCAATTTTGCAAAAAAAAATGTTTAAATTTTTTTAAGTTTATGACAAAACAAAATACAAGCAATTGCAGAGTTAGGGCTGGATAGATGGGCTCAGTGGGTAAGAGTACTTCCTCTGTTCACAACTCCTAATAATTCCACAAAACCATGGCTTCTGATGCCATCTTCTGGCCTTTGTAGGAACATACTGTTAAGATTTACATACCACACCAAATGTAAGCTAGTCTGTTCTGGTTGATTAGTAAAAGCTGCCCACTGTATTGGACTGAAAAGGACCAAGACTCAGCAAGGGGGAAATGGTGTGGGTGACTGAAGTCTGCTCTAAACCTGAGAGTTGAAAATAAGATACAAATGTTTCTATTTCTTTGTTGATCCAGAGGATCTGAAATTTCTACCAACATTCTAATTTGCATTACATTAAATTACCTAAATTCTTCACCCACAAATAATTAAAAATTTAGTCATTATAAATAATGTCAATTGGTGACAACTTCACCCCTTTCACTGGTCCAGCCTGGTCTACAGAGTGAGTCCCAGGTCAGCTAGGGCTACACAGTGAAACCCTGCCACAAAAGTAAATAATTAAATAACTTTTTATCACAATAGAAAAATTTGGTCCTTACAGGACAATTCAGTAGGCATCAGTGCCTGGCTAATTCCATAGACATCATCTTACATTCTCTATGTGCAAAACCAAATTCTTCATCTTCCCCTTCTAATGGATCCTTTGTAGTCTCATTTTGGTGAACAGTAGTACCATCTTTCCAGTTGTCTATGCTGGTGGCCTGAGAACTGTCCTTAGTGCCTCTGTAACCCTTAGCCTCATATTCAATTATCTAATACCTTTTTATTAAAGTTCTAATACAATGTTGAAACAGCCATCAAGAAACTTACATTAGAGTTAGAGACTGTAACTAAAAATTCTGATATGTCATAAAGAGATGCCAGGGATTGGTGGCACATGCCTTTAATCTCAGTACTCAGGAGGCAGAGGCAGGAGATGCTCTGAGTTCAAAGCCAGCTTGATCTACAGAATGAGTTCCATGACAGCCAAGACTACACAGAGAAAACCTGTCTTGGAAAATAATAAAGAAAGAAAGAAAATAAGAAAAAACATTAACAACAGAGTCATACACACCTCTCCAGACTGAGCTGTACCCTAAGAGATAAAAGGCCTCTCTGACCTGGTAAGAAGACCACAGATAAAGAACAGGGAATAAATTCCGGAGAGAAAAAATAATATATGAGAAGTACTGAGGCCAGAAAATTCTTAGCAGGTACTCAAACCCCTGGAAGGTGAGTGCATCAGGAATGACATGTGGTAAAAGACAAGCCTGAGAAAAGATGAAGTCGGAGTCTACAGGGCCAAGTTTTCATTTTACTTCAAATGGCTGCTGTAAAGCTACTGAAGCATCTAAAGAGGAATACTTCAATCAATTTTCATTTTAATGGAATACCACAGATGTGAATAGCAAAGGGGAATGGGGAATATGAGAGTGTGGGGTCAATTAAGAGGCTGATACAATAATCATGTAATAGATGAGAGCATCTGAGGCTAAGAAGGTAGTTATAAATTCAAGACTTGTTTGGGAAGGAAACAAATCAGCATGAAGTGCCTATAGATTTGTTTGGAACAAAAATAAAATGAGGGATAGGGTTTCTGGTTGGAAGTGGGTAGATATGGGTACCATTGGGGCAGTCCACTACAGGGGTAGGGAATTGATCCTTTCTGGGGTACCTATGAGACTCTGTAATGGAGATCTCTTAGAGGCAGCTGGATATGTAAAACTAGAGTTCACAGGAGTGGCTGGGAGCTCTAAGATAGATAAAAATCACTTTGGCCCTCTTCTTACTTTCTGCCCTCTCATAAAGGAACATGTCCAGGGGAAAGTGATGCAATGCCAATCAGCCAAACAAAATTTAAGACAGGATATTACTATGGAGCCTTGGTTGGCCTGGAACTCGCTATTTAGATCAGATTGGATCTCTATCTGCCTGCCTCTGCCTCTGCCTCCCAAGTACAGAGATTAAAGGTGTGCACCACCAAGCCCAGCAGTAAAATTTTCTTAAGCAAGGTCTATGAGGCTCTTCCTATAGAAAAAATTAACTGCCTACAAAGGGATGAGACATATGTATTGTCAATAGATACTTGACTATGTTCTTTGCAATGGGTATGTTTGATCTCTTGGTTAAAATCTCTCTTTGGGGATTTATGTCTCCACCGTTCTTTACTTGCCCTGTCTCCAGGGTGCTAGTGCAAGGCAGACTCATGCTGGCCAAAGCACCACAGATAATACTGCCTAGGTGTGGTGCCTAGGCACTGCTTTATGATGCTGTTATACATCTTACTTTTCCAGGCATGGGCACAGAAGTTTTAATAACTGATTCCTGAGTACCTCAAAATGTAATGGATTAAAACAATAAACATTTATATTTCATGCCGTTCCTGATCAGCAGGAGCTGGGAGTGGCTGACATGGGTGGTTCTGAAAAGTATGCAGCTAAACTGTTGGCTAGGGCTGTGGCTGCAATGGGGTCAAAGCTTGGTAAGTCTAGGAAAGCCACTGACACACACCTTTGGATTTTTTGCCACCTGTTCTTTACCATAGACCTGCTCTAGTGTCTTACAAGATGGTGGTCAGGTTCTCTAAGAAGCTGTCTGAGGGACAAGCCAGGAAGAAGCCATATACCATTATGTCCTAATCTGTCACATCCTGGTCCCTGGCAGTAAGGTAATATGTATAGCTTGTACTCCAGCCAGTGGAAGCAAATTAGACACCAACCTCTGAGGAAAAGTTATCATGGAAATCAGAAGGTGTTGTCTCCCTTAGAACTGGAGTTATAGATGCTTGCAAGCTACCATGTGGGTGCTGGGAACTGAACTCAGGTCTTCTACAAGAGCAACCAGTGTTCTTAACCACTGAGCAACCTCTCCAGCCCTTGGTAAGGTGTACAAAAAGAGTCATTCCACAATGAAATGTAGTTTTCATTTCATTGTTATCCTTTTCCTAAAGAAGGAGTAATTCCAAGTTTTTGTGACTTCAAGACAAGTGCCTGGAAGCACTTTCTAGCCCCCTGTAACTTCATCTTTACAATGTTCCCTTGGTCCTCTATACTACAGCCATCATCCCTACTGCTAGTTCCCCAAATCCACCAGATTCTTCCTCACTTATGGGCCTTTTCTCATGCTAGTCCATCTGTTCAGAATGCCTTTCTACCTCATTTTTCATGGGTTGGGTTTCTCTACTCATTCTCCAGAATTATAAAGTGGGAGCCACCTTTTCTGCAAGCCTACTCTAGACTAGATCAGGCATCCATTTTATATGTTTACATACAACTTTCCACATATATTTTCCAAAGTATTTATCATCAAACCCTAACCTGTTTATGCCATTCTGTACCTTCCTCTTCCAGATTATGAACTTCCAAAGGGGGGGAAAATGTATCCTATTTTTAATGATTAGAATAGTGGTTGGCAAATGGGAGTTATATTTCTCAATGAACTAACTAATACACTATAAATGTATGAATTTTTATGTATATTTACTTATTTAGAGTGCTGGGAATTGAACTTAGGACCTCATGCATGCTAGGCAAGCACTCTACCACTGAGCTCTCTTCTTTTTGATTTCTCTGTATAGCAGCAGCTCTGGTTGTGCTAGAACTCATTCTGGAGACCAGACTGACCTTTAACTCACAGAGATCCGCCTGCCTCTGCCTCCTGAGTGCTTGGATCAAAGGTGTGCGCCACCACCACCAGGCTTTTCTGATATTTTTTAAAGTTTAATTTGATTTGTATGTATGGGTGTTTTGTTTTCATGTATGTCTGTGCATCATATCTGAAAAGGCCAGAAAAGGGTGTCAAATCCCCTGGAATTGGATGGTTGTGAGCCACCATGTGGTTGCTGGGACTCAAACCCAGGACCTCTAGAAGAGCAGCCAGTGCTCTTAACCATTGAGCCATCTCTACAGTCCCTTGTTTCATCTTTTTAAGAAAAATTTAGGGGGTATGTGTAAATGTGTGTGTGCCTGCATGAGGTTTGTGGAGCTGTGCACTTGTGAAGATCAGAAGAGAATTTTGTGGAGTTAGTTCTTTTCCCTCAGGGACTGAACTCGTGTCAGGCTTTGTGGCAGGCTCCTTTAACCATTGAGCATCTCAATGTCTTTGTTATGTCGACCAGACTGGTCTCCAATTCTCAGTTTCCCTGTGGCAGCCTCCTAAGTGCTATGGTTAAAGAATGTATCACCATACTTGGCTCTAATCATGAGTTTTAATCTTTTTTTTTTTTTTTTTTTTTTTTTTTTTATTTTTTTCTATCATGTATTTTGGTATGCATTAATTTCAAAATCAGGGGGAAAGCTATACCCATTATGAGAAAGACACATAAAGAGCCACATATACATACTGTTTCAGATGATCTTCAGCAAGAGCAAATCTTTTTCTGCGCCGTTTTTCCTCTTTCTCTTGTTCTTCTTTAACAGCTTTTTCAACATCGAGTTTCACTTGTTCCTCCCATTTTTTGTCTGATTTTACTGAATTCTTTTTGAACTGAATCTGAGCATCACGTTCTTTCATAACTCTACTGAGAAGAAGTCCTGACTACAAAAAAATTGCACTATTTTCAGAAAGCTGTGTATAAATATTTAGAGAAAACTGTTAACTATGCATATTAAATATACATATATACAAATAGAAGAGAAGCCAGATAGTACATGAAAGCTTTTCACTCTTTCTGTTTGGTAAAACTGATACTGCTTTGCATTTTCAATGGCCTTCTTTCTTTCTCCTTGTTTGTATATTTCTTCCTCCAAATCAAGAATTTGTCTTTCAGCCTCAATCTCTTCATCACGCTTTTGCTTGGCTTTAAGTTTCTGTTCTTTCATTCCCTGTGAAAAGACAAAGTAATCAATCTCTCTCTCTCTTTATAGTGTTTGGGATCAAACTCAGGCCTTGTGGTCACTCTAACCCCAAAGCAATCTTTTATTTTTCAATTTAGTTGACCCAAGAGTTATCAATATAAGATCACTTTAATTTCATTATGAATTTTTATTGTGTTTACATAATTCATTGTTAAACTTGAACTTATACTTTGAACTGACCCCTAAATTTATTTATTTATTTTGTGTGTGTGTGTGTACGTGGGTATTTTGTCTGAATGTATATCTCTGCATCACATGCTTTCCTGGTACCCAAGGAGATCAGAAGAGATGGTTGGATGCCCTGGGGCTACAGTTACAGAACACTGAAGCACCATATGTGTGCTGAGACTCAAACTCAGGAGCTCTAGAAGAGCAGTCAATACTCTTGACTACTTGGCCATCTCTCCAGTCCTGAATTAATTTTTAATTTAATTTCTTAAGTGGGCAGCACATTTACATGATTCAAAATCCAAAACCATTAATAGGATATATAATGAATCTCTCCAATCCTAAGACTTCATTAAGATTAAAAAGTTTTCTATTAGCCAATCATGGTGGTGCATGCCTGTAACTCTAACTACTCTGGAGGCAGAAGCCAGGCAGGAGGATACTTGAGACTGACTTTGAGGTCAACCTGGACAGTGTAAAGAAATCTCAAAAAGCAAATAAATTTTCTGTCTTTTAAAAGACAAGGTAAGTTAATGATAATTCAAGATATATACTAAGAGGAAATATTTTCAAATACATACATTTTCTTTGAGATGGTATCACAGAGCCCAGGCTAGCCTTAAGCTCATTGCATAGTCAAAGAACTTTTCCTTCTCTTTGGCCATCTTCTGGTGCTGGGATTATAGGCATGGCCCAGCATGCCTGGCTTTGAGTGGTGCTGGAGACTGAATCCAGGCTTTCATGCATGCTAAGCAAGTACTCCACAAACCACACTTCATTCCCAGCCCTGTTGATCCAGCCTTGAACTTGGGATGTAATCCAGGTTGACCTTGAATTCAAGGTCTTTCTGCCTTAGCTACCTGTGTAGTCTGATTACAAGAATGCACCACCACACATATCTTCAGAATGTTTTTAAAGTTCTCTAAACTCAATGATAAGAAAACAAACCTAACCATAAAAAATCTGAAGAGGTGGAAAACAAGTTCATCAAAAGATGTTTGGCCACTGGGCTGTGGTGGAGAACATCTTTAATCCTAGCAATTGGGAGGCAGAGACAGTAGGATCTATGTGAGTTCAAGTCCAGCCTGGTCTACAGAGAGAGTTCCAGGGCAGCCAGAGCTACATAAATAGACTCTGCCTTAAAAAAACAAAACAAAAAGAAAAGAAAACCACAAAGTTACATATACAGTGATCATAAAATTTCACTATACATATCTATATCAAGATATTTACTCAAGAGAAACAGGAGTCCATAAACAAACTCATATATGAATGTTCATAGCAACTATATTTGTAACAGTCAAAAGATGGAGACAACCAGATGTCAACATTTGGTTGATGCCATACCATCAAGTGACCAGATAACTAAACTGTACTGTGTCAAACACTAGAATACTACTCACAATACAAAGAGTGTATTTTACAGCATGACTAACTCTCAGATTCTGTTGAATAAAATCTATAGTAATGAATAGATGAGTGGTGACTTAGTAATTTATAAGGAGAGACGGAGAGTTAAAACTTTTTAGGTGATGAATATGCTCATGTTAACTGTAATGATGGTTTTGGAGGCATATACGAGCCAAAATTTAACAAGATGTTTACCGTAATTGGGTCATTTACAGTACGTTACTTAAAGATCTTGAAAGTATGTGCCATCATGTTTATAACAGTTTGAACGTAAATTTAATTCAGAAAAGGTACAAGGCACTACTAAGAAGCAAGAGCCAGTGTTGGAGGCATGTGAGTTCTGGAAGGCTGAAACTTACTGCGTATGTGTTAGTCCAGTGCTTTACCAGTTCCTGGGACTGGACATGCATCTTTTTCTTCGATATTCTTTCTGTACGAAGGGCTGCTGCCTCTCTTGTCAGCCTGTCAAGGCTATCCCGAATCCTTTCCCACTCAGCATGTGGAATTATGGTGACCTGGCGGAGATCTACCTTGCTAGGTAGCAGAGGTGGATAGGGAATTTCATCTTTTTCAGAGCTCTTCATCCCTAATGCATTAAAAAAAAAAAAATTAAATGCTTTTCCAGGAAGAGTTCACATGATTTTTTTTTTCTCAGAAATGTCTGTAGTGGAGTAGTATCTGGGAATTGCCTCAAATGCCTCAATTGCCTTAAGAATGGCTGAGAAAACAAAACAAAAAACACAAGGCTTCATGAAATCAAGGAAACTGGCTGAATCTTTGGTGATTTCCTTCATGTAAAGTTCTCACAGAACAGATAGTCACTCAGGTTCTCTGGGGTGGGGCCAGCACTATTACTATAAAGTTCGATAGTTCAAATTTCCAATAATCTACTAGTTATCATGACAATTAAATTGTTGTTGTTGGACTTGATAAAGATTTTTTTAGAAGCCGTACATGTGCACATCTATGACAAAATCAAATCTTATGTTACCTTAATTACTTTACATACTTTTTTTTTTAACACTATCAAAGCATTTGACTCGGAGTGAGTTTTAACTTTAGAGCAAAAAGAATTAAGATAATTCCCTGAGCTTCAGAAAAGACTACTCAACGGGTCTGCAACAGAATGGCGACTTAGTAGGTCAATAACATTTCGAAACAAAGCTTAGGAGCCCCCAGACTAGCCGGGCAGTGGTGAGGAACGCCTTTTATCCCAGCACTGGGGAAGCAGAGGCAGGAGGATCTCTGTGAGTTCGAGACCAGCCTGGTCTACAAGAGCTAGTTCCACGACAGGCTCCAAAGCCACAGAGAGAAACCCTGACTCGAGCTGCCCCTCCCCCCCCCCAAAAAAAAAATCATACTCCTAAGTATTTGACCAACTGAGGCAGTTGAGGGAAGGCGTCTAGCTTTCTGCTTTTTCTACCACCATTGCTGTGAACTTTCTACTGTGCACCCCTAGCCCTCTTTGCTTAGTCCACTCATTCACCTGAAAGGACACTGGCTGGGGATGCTTCCGACTTGGCAGAGCCCATTTCAAAGGGCAGCCGAAGCCCTCCCTCCCTCACTGGTCACGCCGGGCCGGGGTTCTTTCTAGAAACAAGCCCAGCTCACCTGTGCTTTCCTTCGTCTGCCCCGAGCGCCGTCCAAAGCGCACCTGCATCTCTTACTAACTAGCCGAGCCCCGCGAGTCCAGACGCCAAGTTCAGCGGCGGAATGGTTGCCAAACTGTTTGGTTGTTTAGCAACAACGCCGGAAGTGACGTTGCCGCCATCGCGGAACCGGGAAGGAGCCCCGTCTGCGCCGCGAGTGTGGGGGGCGGGGAAACCGAAGCTCGGGAAGTGCGCCTGCGCAGTGCAGAGCGGCGGGCCCTGCCCGGGCGCTCGTGAACCGGCGTTTACGTCAGGACCAACCGGCGGATGCTGGGACGGATGCTGGCTGCCGGCGGCGACCCGGGCCTGGGTCAGTGAGGATCCCTCTGTCCCGCCAGGCTGGTGTCCCCTTCCCCACCCGGTCCGCTAGTGTGGAGCCGGCCGGTGTTCGAGTCGAGGCCTGGGCTCGGTGCGAGCCCCCACACTGCTCCTCGCCTGCTGAGGTGAAGGACAGACCCCGCTTGACCACAGAGAACCCTAGGGATTAAGGGACATTAAAGCTGTTCTTAAATTATTTGGTTTGTGCGGCATAGCCAGGACTAGATGAGGCCCTGTTGATTGTCATTACACAGGGCTGTTAAAGCTTGAATGTTGTCTTCAGGACATTCACGTTAAGACCTTTAATATGTACCAGACTGTTGGTAAATAAATTATAATTAGTGTGCTTGGGAGCCAGCCTCTAATGACCCCAAAGTATATTAAAGTGGACTGGTAATTGATCTTTAAAGAGGGTTTCTGTAAGTGTTACAGCTTGGATGGAAAAGTATTCTGACACTCAGAATCCAAGGAATACCACCGGTCACAGTAAACATAGCAGCTTACAGCCTTGCTCCGGGGAAGATATTCCAGCCTTGTACCGCTTAGTTCTGCGAAGGCTCCTCTAGCAAAAGAAAGTTGTCACCCAAACCTCTTTCAAGAGCCTTATTGGGCGGGAAGAATCCTGGTGGCTGCCGCTACCAGGGTGGAAGAAGACAGCAGCAAACTGAACAGGCACTGGGCTTATATAGGGCTCCTTATTAATTTTTTTCCAGGGAGAAGATTTCCCGGGTGGGGTTGGTCAGATCTCGGTCCCTTGAGCTCAGATTGGCTAGATCTTGTGTTCAGGGGTCGGTTGGTTTTCTTCTCAGGGATTTGTTTGTTTTCCCTGCTCAGGGATTGGTTGGTTTCCTTCTTAGTTGGTCAGGGGCAGATTTGGCTGTGGTTTCAGGGCCAAAGTGTGTTTCTTCCCCTGGCCCGTTTTAGCCTTTTGGCTCTTAATTTCAGGGCTAGCGTGTATTTCTTTCGCTGGCTCTAATTCCAGGGCCAGTGTGTGTTTCATTGGTTGTACTCAGGGTGTGCTTCTTTGGCTGACCCTTTCCCGCTACGTTTTCCTGACACACCGATGTACAAATGATTTCATTACTAAGGAGTTGTCACTATCAATTAATTAAGAAAGAATTGTTGTCCCTCACAATGAGAGCAAGTAAGATTTTTCAATAATGAGAGTTCTAACACGTAGTTGTGCTATCTATTTTCAGGTTTTCTATCAGACGTTACCCTGTAATAATGCTGGTGAGTACAGAAGGATTAATAAGAATATCTGTAGGCAGAACTTTGTGCACATACACTAATGATTTGGAAGCATAGCTTAAAACATGGCAGGAATCAAAATGTTAGGGATTTTCCTGTATTGCAGGCAAACAGCAACTTGCATAGTTTAGTATGAGACCCACGGTGTGCCCCATGAGGGGTCAGTGAATTACAGTGGTCGATGCATTATCAGTACATTTTGCCTTAATTTCCCTGAACCCCTGACCCCACAGGGTAATGTAGAGTTGGCAAGAAGTCACATGGGTGTCATGTATGTTCCATTGTAGGACAGGGCCTCAGAGCTGAGGGAACTCAAATCACAAGAGACAACATGCATGTCTTTTAATGTTTTCCAGTGCAGAGGAATCCTTGAAGCAGCTGGGGCATTGAGTACATTCTATAGAAGAGAAGAGCATTATAAGCAATATACACCATGTCTCTCAATGAAAACCCCAGTAGTTTTACTAAATTAGTTGCAATTACTGAGCCTCATAAAATGTCAGTAATTTTCTAATTTGAAATTTTCTGATATTTGACTTCAAACTCCTGATTGCTACTCCAACCTAGTCTTGTTGATCGAGAGTTAGATACTTGGTTTCTGCCTCATAACCCTGAGTTTTGTTGTTGTAAATTAAAGAAGGTAGCATTTATACCCTAATTGGAAACAATTTAAGTTAACATGTAGATATTTTTAAACAAAATCACAAGTAAAACTAAAAATAAATATTAAATCACACATTAAGACCCTGCCACTTGAGCCAGGTGTTGGGCCTTTAATCACAACACTAGGGAGGCAGAGGCAGATGGATCTCTGTGAGTCCAGCCTGGTCTACAGAGCTAGTTTCCAGGACAGGCTCTAAGGCTACAGAGAAACCCTGTCTTCAAAAACAAAAACAAAAAAGACCCTGCCACTCTCACAAACTATTTTTATGTTTATTATATTTAATTATGTGTATGTTTGTACATGTGTTTGCAAGAGAGTATGTGCACTTGAATGAAGGTTCCTGAAGAGGATAGAGTTGTCAGATCCTCCTGGAGCTGGAGTTCCAGGTGATGGTAAGCTTAAAAGTAGTGTGTGCTCTTAACTGCTGAGCATCCTCTCAAACCCTTATTTATTTGTTTGTTTGTTTGCATACTTATTTAGTGTGTATATATTGTGCAGTTGAGAGGCATCAAACTCCCTAGTACTGGAGTTACACTGTTGGGGCCAGCTGACAGTGAGGACTGAGTGAGGACTGAGAAAGAAAGAGACATAAGACAGAAGATAGAATTGGGAGGGCTCTCAGTGACTATTGCAGCAGCCCCAAATTTATTTCTCATAGCCCTTTATACCCAAAGCAAAAAAGGGGAGGGGAAAGACTTCCTTTCCATGGTTCAAGGAACAAACAAGCGTAATCACCTCCTTAATTCTCAAAACACCTAGTAACCAAGTAACCATGCCTTCAGCCAAATACCCTGTTATTTGACCTTGAGGAGCAAGAACAAGCTTGAATTCTGACCTCAAGTCAAGATGGAATGGAGTCACTATGGTCTCCCACATTGCACCACCAGATATGGGTTCTGAGAACTGAACTTGGTACTCTGCCAGAGCAGTGTACACTCTTAAACAGTGATCTCTCCAGTCCTGAGAGTAGGCTGTTGGTTGGTTGGTTGGTTGGTTGGTTGGTTGGTTGGTTGGTTGTTGATTTTGTTTCTTTTTTTTGAGACAGAGTTTCTCAGTGTAACCGCTCTGGCTGTCCTGGAACTTGCTTTGCAGACTAAGCTGGCCTCAAACTCACAGAGATCCACCTGTCTCTGCCTCTCAAGTGCTATAATTAAAGGTGTGCACAACCACCAGCTGGCTTTGTTTTGGTTTTTAAATAAAACATATTATTGTGTATGTGTGTGTTGAGTGAGAGCATTAGTCAGAGGACGGACAACATTTAGGAGTCCTCTCTATCCACTGTGGGCCTGTCTCCTTCAAGAGTGACTTGCAGGGGTCAAACTTGGCTTGTCAGGCTTGTTCAGCAAGTGTTTTACCATCTGAGTCAGCTCGCTGTTTTGTTCATATTGCACATTTTAACCAAAACTGGGCCCAAGCATGTAGCATTATGCCTGCCTGAGCTGCTGGGTTTATTGGTGTGAGTAACTATACCTGGTCTATTTCCAAAATGTTAATAAAAGACTTTCCAGGTAAAGTCACACTGTTAAAAGTCAATTTGTGCACTTCCCTAATTTTTGTAGATTTTTATTTTAAGTACATCACTGATATCTGTATATTTATTGATAATAAAGTGTTTTCCTTTTAACAAGAAAAACTTAAATGATGAAATTCAATTGATTTAACATTTGTGATGTCATTAACTAGATAAAATATTTCCATATGACATTCTCTTTTTTGTATTTATATAAAGTATATATTTACAATCAAATTTTGTTTCTTCATTGCCAGTATATGTTTTGTGTTTTGTTTTGTTGTTAAATATGAGGTAATGGAAGCCAACCAAAAAACATACATTTTAAGCTTTTAAAATTCCTCATTAATTTTAGGAGTTAAGAAGTCTCCATTCCTTTGCTGCAAATCAGAGACATCTCTCTTCGTACAGAAATGGAGTAATGTTTAAAGACAACTGGCAAATTAAAGGTTTTAATGACCTAAGTTCTATGCTGAAATAAGATTAATTGGACTACAGGTGCCACTTTGGGTAAGTCATATATATACATACATACATATTCTTAAATCAATTCTAAATCTGTGTTTATTTCACTCTTGTGTTCTTTTAAGAATTAAAAGTGCAGTGGTAATACCCTGCACTTCGGAGGCAGAGACAGGCGGAGTTTAAGGTCAGCCTGCTCTACCAGGACAGCCAGGGCTACACAGACAAATGCTGCCTTCAAAAAAAAAAAAAAAAAAACTACCAAATCTGTATTTATTTTTAAAGTAATAAGTAGATGTGGTGGCATGTACCTTTAATCCCAATACTTAATTAAGAGACAGAGGCAGGTGGATCACTGTGAATTCCAAGCTGAACTTCTATATAGAGAGTGCTAGGTAAGCCAAGCCTACATGGTGAGACCCTGTCTCAAAAGGCACTAATGTTGTATTTAATTAATTTTGTTTGGTTTAGTGTTTTTGAGACAGGGTCTCTCACATAGTTCTGCCTGTCTGTAAACTGGCTGTGTAAACCAGTCTGGCTTCAGACTTACAAAGATACTCCTGCCTCTGTCTCCTAAGTGCTGAGACTAAAGGCATTGTCACCACACCAGACCTAGAATGTTGTACCTGAAAACATGAAATTGGAGCCAACATGACCTGAGACCACAATTCCACCTCTAATATCAACTTCTTTATTAATTGGGTTATATATCTTTAAGATGAGAGTGACAACAATTATACTTTATATGATATTAAAATTAGATGAAATGTTTGAGTGATCTTTCAAAAATATATCTTCTTTTGTTTACACATGTCAATTTTTTCTTTTTCTTGGAATTTTACATGATTACTATTTTTTTAATGTGATATTTTCACCCATTTTAACTGTGGCAAATTAATGTTTCCATTTCTCCTGGAGATTTTTCTGTTATTATTATGTATACAGTGGTATGCCTCCAGGTATGCCTGCTCACCAAAAGAGAGCACCAAATCTCATTCTAGGTGGCTATGAGCCACCATGTCATTGTTGAAAATTGAACTCAGGACCTCTGGAAGAGCAGCCAGTACTCTTATCCTCTGATCCATCTCTCCAGCCCCATTTTATAAAATTACATGACTTAAATTTGTTCAGAACTTAGTATACAGAATATCCATAATATATTATGGTCTGTTATTTGATATAAGGATCATTATAAATATTATAAGCTAGTAAAGTAAGTATAGTAGTTATCCAAGGGAAAATAAGTGGTGGTCCTAAAAAAAGGAAAAAAACGCTTAATTGGGGGCTAGGTTCATTGCATAAGAGCACCTACTGCTCTTCCAGAGGACCCAGGTTCAATTCCCATTACACATGGTAGCCCATCACTAGTAACCCTAGTTCTAGGGGATCCAGTTATCCCTTCTGACCTCCTTGGGTACCAGACACCATGTGGAGCATATAACAGGTGAGCAAAATGCTCACATGCAGGAAAATGTTTACATTTTTCTATAGTGCATAATAAGGTGTGAGTATGGTTGCACATACCTTTGATTCCAGCATTTGGAAGGCAGAAGCAAGTGGGTTATTCTGAGTGCCAGGACAGCCTGGCCTACATAACCAGTTCCAGATCAAACCAGGGTGAATAATGAGACCTCATGTCAAACAAAAACCTCACTCACTAGTTTACACTCCTTGCTTTGGCATGTTAACTTATTTATTTATTCATTCATTCATTCATTTTTAAGAAAGCTCTCATCAGCCTCAACCTCTTGTCCCAGCCTCCTAAATGCTAAGATGACAGCATGTACTACCACACCTAGCTCTTAGCTGTTTAACGTTTACTTTTGATCTTAAGTGTAATAGATATGTAAACACAGTATGTTTAGGGAATAATATTTCTTCTTTTTCAGGGTAACCCAAATCTATTTCTGGAACCATGAAAGTTTTGTTGGTATTTGACTTCGACAATACAATCATAGATGACAATAGTGACACCTGGATTGTACAGTGTGCTCCAAACAAAAAGCTTCCTATGGAACTACAAGATTCTTATCAAAAGGGGTTTTGGACAGAATTTATGGGCAGAGTCTTTAAGTATTTGGGAGACGAAGGGGTAAAAGAAGATGAGATGAGAAGATCAGTGATATCAATGCCTTTCACTTCAGGGATGGTAGAGCTTTTCAACTTTCTAAGAATGAATAAGGATAAATTTGATTGCATCATTATTTCAGATTCAAATTCAGTCTTCATAGATTGGGTTTTAGAAGCTGCTGGTTTTCATGATGTCTTTGATAACGTATTTACAAATCCAGCATCTTTTGATAACAATGGTCTTCTCACAGTGAAAAATTGCCATGCTCATTCTTGCAATAGATGCCCAAAGAATCTTTGCAAAAATGCAGTTTTGCTAGAATTTGTAAATAAACAGTTACAAAAGGGAGTGAAGTATGCACGGATTGTTTATATAGGTGATGGTGGAAATGATCTCTGTCCAGTAACCTTTTTAAGGAAAAATGATGTTGCCATGCCTCGAAAAGGGTATACTTTACAAAGAACTCTTGCCAGAATGTCTCAAAATCTTGAGCCTATGGAATCTGCTGTTGTAGTTTGGTCTTCAGGTGTTGAAATAATTTCTCATTTACAATTTCTAATAAAGGAGTAATGTATCAACAATTGAAATTTTTTATTAAGATTGGGCTCAATAACATAAAACTAAGTCCCCTATATTTAGTATGCATAAAAATGAGAGGGGTTTTTCCCTTTAAAGAATTCTGGTGATATTTTAAGGCCACTTCGTTGCTCAGCCAACCTCAGCTTTTGATTCCAATCCATGATTTGTGGTTGACGGCCAAGCTCAATCCCTCACAACAAACATTCTGACCAGCAAGAGCCAGGCCAGTGGGGCTGTAGCCCTTTGTTTAAGGATAGTTTCCAATTGTACCAAACAATTCTGTTCGAATACCATTAACCAAAGCCTGGTCAGTGCCTTCCCAAACTACAAAATATGTGCCTGGGAAAAGGTGGGAAAACAACATAACTGAGGTAGGTGTAACTCATGGATTATACTAGGGATTGATAGTGAATTGCGTTTTTTAAACTTCTTGGGAAAAGTGGCTTTGTTTTACTCATTTATTTAAAAAATATCCAGTAGTTGGAAATGTTGAAATTAACTTGATGTGCTCTTCCTCTGCTGTCACCAAGTCATACAGATTCGTGTGTTCAAGATTGAGCTTTACCCATAACCCACTGCTGAGGAGGCATTGTTGCTGGAGGTGTAATGGATGCTAATACTGCCTTACAAGTGCTGCTGACTGCCCTCATCCAAGGTGGCCCAGCATGGGAATCATGCAAAGCTGCCAAAGCCTTAGGCAAGTGCATGCTTGAACCCAATTGTGATGAGCCCACATGGGTAAAGTAGGTAGAGGAGCTTTGTCCTGAGCATGCAGATCAACTTGATTAAGGTTGATGATGAGAAACTAGGGGTATTTTTAGGCATCTGTGAAAGCAAGAGAAGAAACCACATAAACTGCTTGGTTGGGTGTGTTAAAGATGCCATGGAAGAATGAAATGCAAGAAATAATATCGGATTATTTTCTCAAAAAGAAAAAAGCCTGATGCTTTATCCACATAAGAATAAAAGGCTGTCAAATGTGTATAATGCCTTCTGAAATCTGTCTTTAAAATAATGGTGCAGTACTTTAGGTTATATTTCAAGCATGCCATGGTGTGTATGTTGGAGGTCAGAAGACAGCTTATGGGAGTTGGTTCTTGTTCCACCATATGGGTTCCAGGGATTGAACTCAGGATCATCAACTTTGGTGACAAGTGTCCTTAACTGCTGAGCCATCTAACCAGCCCATGATGTAGTATTTTTTAAAAAAAATACTGTTTTAAATGCTGTTATTTTTGTTGTGTTGTTACAAAGCAGGGTCTTGTTGTGTAACCCAGACAGACCTCAGGCTCTCCATCCTGCCTGCTTTCATTGAGAGGGTTGAAATTATAGATGTGCACCACCATGCCTGGCTTCAACTTGCCAGTTTAAATAGTGTGCTGTTTATATTTGGCAATTCAGTTGTGAAAAATATGAACTTGTATAAATGCTCAACAGTTAAGAGACTTTGATCTTTGATGTAGGAAATATCTGCTTATCTACACTTTTATAAATGCATGCTAATCCTATAGGTCCATAATTAATCATAAATACTCAGTAAATATAATAGCTTTTTTTCTCTTTATGTTTTAGTTTGTTTTGGAGTTTTTGTGGTCTGGTGGGTTTTGTTTTTGTTTGTTTGTTTGTTTTTCAAGACAGGGTCTTACTGTAGGTAGCCTTGACTGACCTGGAACCTGGTATGTAGACCACACTGTCCTTGAACCCACAACAATCTGGCATAATACAGTTTTCTTAATCTCCAAAATTTGAAATATTCAGTATAATGTAATGGGGAAAAATTCTATCCTAGACCCCCCCCCATACAAAGTAAAATTTTTAATAGATTATATTGAAACACATTCTTGCTTTCTTTTGTTTTTTCAAGACAGGATTTCTCTAGGTAACTACCCTAGTTGTCCTGGAACTTATATATAGAGATCAGGCTGTCCTCAAACTCCCAGGAATCTGCCTGCCTCTGCCTCTGCCTCCTGAGTGCTGGGATTAAAGGTGTGTACTGCCATAGCCTGGCCACATTTCTTATAAATTATCACTTGTCTTTGTTGAGGCCGATAACAAATTGTAGAACAAAATTGTAATCGTTTTGCTTACAATAATAATTGACCAAGTAGTTTTGAGAGATCCGGGCCCCAGAAAATCCCTGGTTCACAGCCCCTACATAGACCCTGAACATTTCAGCCTAAGCCCCCACCCAGTGAAAGAAACACTCTGGATTTGAGACCCAAGCCAGAGAAAGAGACGCTTTATCCTTAAGCCTAGAGCCAGGGAAAAACACCCTAACTCTTAAAACCTGCGCCAAAAGAACACACTTAGCCCCTAGATTTGGGAAATGTAAAAGAAATTCGCCCAAACCCTAGAGTTGGAACCAAAAAGCCAAAAAGTTTGGCCCTGGAATTGGAACCTTTTTTGCCCCTGACTAAAAAGTAGCCAATCCCTGGGCTAGAAAAACTGGCCAATCGCAGGCCAGCAGACTTGGAATTTCCCTTTGGGTTGGAACCTCAGGTTGGGGATTCCCCAAGATTGGGACTTCCTACCGCTTCATGGGGGTAGCCAATCACCATCCAGAGGGTTTGGGATGCCCCTAGACCCAGGGCAGCAAATCGGCTTAGTCCAGACTTAGACCAATCCCAAGGCTGTAACTATGCAGTTTTTGGGGTGTTTGAGCCAATCCCAAGACTGTAGCTAGGCAAATTTGGAGTTCCCCAAGCCCCTCCCTCCTGCCTGGCTACATATAAACCCTTTTTGCCCTCTTTCTGCTCTGGGTCTGTGCCCTCACTGCTGCTGCTACAGCTTTGGGCAGATGGAGGAACCCTAGTTAACTCCCAAATAAAAACCGTCTTGTGGTGATTCGGGATTCAGATTTCAGGCTTTCGGGATAACAGATTAGTGTGGAAGAATATTATTTTAAGGTGTGTGACTCGTTTATGCTGCATTTGTTTAACTCTGTGAAGCTGTGGTTCTTTGCCTGTCTAAAACACCTGATGGTCTAATAAAGAGCTGAATGGCCAATAGCAAGGCAGGAGCAGGGATAGGCGGGGCTGGCAGGCAGAGAGAATAAATAGAAGAAATGAGGAAGAAGGGAGCAAGGAGAGAACAAGGAGAAGAGAACAGCAGGGGTTAGCTACCCAGCCAGCCATGGAGTAAGAGTGAAAGTAAGATGCAGAAGAAAAGGCAAAAGGTAGGTGGGATAATTTAAGAGAAGTGGGCACTCCTAACTAAGAATAAACCTCCATATGTGAGTTACTTAGGAGCTGGATGGTGGTCCCCTCAAAAAGCAAAAAGAGCAAGAACACGACACAACAGTTTAGACCATACCATTTCCTGAGAATGTCTAGAAAATCTGACAGCTGAATAAATTAAAATATCTACTCAACTACATCAGAGAACTGACAGCAATCAGGAATTTCTAGGGGAATACCGAAATGTGGGTAGGGAGCCTGTCTATGAGTTGGCCAATCATAAATTGTGTTACTTGATATCTGCAACCTCAAGTGAAGAGAAGAGATGGTGGAGTATGGTGCTTGTGCTGGTAAGATGATGCCAGCAACCATGTGATTTTGGAAGTGGATCCTGTCCCACTGGAGACTCACCTGAGACAAGCTAAATACTATATCAACCTTAGACCATGAAGCCAAGCAGAACCTGTGACATAGATAGGTTTTGCTAAAAACACTAACTTGGTGGAATGTTGTTATACAGAATAAAATAATAGGTCTCAAATCTAAGAAGTTTTGCAGTTACATTGTAGATCGCACTATAAAATAACCACACAAAGAGACATGAGTCAAAATAAGATTCTATTTAAGCATATTTGTAGAATCTAAAGACACTGGGGTTTTCAGAGATGTTTTTGAGAATTTTGGCAAAAAATTGAAAATAGTTTAAAAGGAGGCTGGGAGATAATGGTGGAATGGCTCATCAGGCACCATACTGACGACCTACATTCAATCTCCAGGATCAACATGATAGAAAGAGAAAACCAAGTCTGCATCGTCCTCTGACCTCCACATGTACCAAGGCATATATAAGTGTCCACATGCATGTGCACAGACATTTCTTTAAAAATTATATTAAAAAATAAATGGGAAGCCTCAAATGGTGTGATACACACCTGGAATTCTAACCTTTGGTATGCTCTGGCAGGGAAATTAGTTTAGTTGCATTATTGCTACATAGTAAGATCATGTCTCAATGAAAGCAAAAACAAAAAACGTGGAAACATTAGAACCGAAAATGACCATGCACCCAAATTAGGTATCTGTTCTTTTTTAATGGTTTTTTTTTGTTTGTTTTTTCTTTTAGATAGGATCTCCCTCTCCCTATCTTAAAGGAGGTTGGCCTCTAAATCAAAGTTTTCAATCTCCCAAGTGCTGGGCTTACAGGTATATGTCACCATGTCCAGATTGAAATTAAAATCTTACAGCAGAGTAAGCATAGCTGAAATGAGAGCTTGTGAATGAACAAAAGTTAGAAGAAAATATCCAGAATGCCACAGAGTTAAAGCAATGCAAAAGAAAAGTTGAAACAAAGATGCGTTAAGAAGGTATCCCCTTATATGAGTGAGTACATACCATGTTCCTCTTTTGTGACGTGGGACTAGGAAGATTGAGTCAGGGGAGGAATAGAAGATAGAAGAGAGAGAGAGAGAGAGAGAGAGAGAGAGAGAGAGAGAGAGAGAACATAAAAGAGGAAGCCATTATAGGATTGAAGAGAAAACTGAACCTAAAGAAAGGTCCAGAGATCTACAAGACTGCTCCAACAATTTGAGCAACAGTGGAAAGGCTACCATAAATGCCCTTCCCTGATAATGAGATCAACTACTAACTTATCCACCATCATGGAGACCTCATCTAGTACCTGTTGGAAACAGAAGCAAACACCCACAACTAAACACTGAGCCGAACTGGAATCCAGATGCAGAGAGGGAGGACAAGACCAGGCTACAGAAACACATAGAGACAGCTGACCTGAACAAGGAGGAGCTAATGGGCCCTCAGCCTGATAGCTGGGA